AAGAAAGAAAGAAAGAAAGAAAGAAAGAAAGAAAGAAAGAAAGACGACTGGGTGACCTTGGGCAAGTCCCACTTTCTCAGCCTCAGAGGATGGTCAGGGCAAACCAAACCTTTTTTCAAGAAATTCTCCAACAAAGAAATGCAAAAGGACCTATACAGATCAAGACCCAGAAGAGATGGGCACAAAAGAGTGGCCCAAGTCCATTCTGGCTGGAAGCGGGTCAGACCCCCACTGTATGCACGGCCTGCTCCCAAGGTGAGACATGGATGCAGCGGGTCACCCGACACTGCCAGAAGTCCCAGCTCCTATTTGTTCTGGTCCTAAGGACCAGAGATTGGTTTTTGCACAGCTTCTAGCTGCTTTGGAGGCTTGCATCTTTTAACTGGCATGCCTCCAAAGTGGCCAGAAGCCACTTCATTTGGCCCATCTGTTTCACTCCCAAATCTCAAATTATGTTAAACAGTATTGTTTAGGGGCACCCTGGAACAGACTCCCCCTCATCCCCAAAATATTAGTGGGGATGATCCACCATCATTTATGGTTGCTCTACATGGTGGCTGCAAAACTTTGTTACAGCCTTCTGGATTCTTCAGAAGAGCCCAACACTCCTTGGTGCAACCATTTGGACAATAGAGCATGCCCTACTGTACCATAAATTTATTTACCATAAAACCCCTCTCACACCATTCTGGAGAGTAATGAATCAGGAAAGAGGATATCTCTGGTATGAAAGCTGCCAAGCACATGGCAGTACACATGGTTGAGAACAACATCTGACAAAGTGACAGAGTGAGTGGGTGGTCTGGGAATACTCTGTGGGAGAGTGTCATTACAAGAAATGGTAAAATACCAAGCAAATATGTTAAACAAGAAGTGGAAAAAATAGGATTGCTCCAAAATATGTTACTCCTTGTGTTGGACTGTTTGGTATCACAAGTCAAGAGCATGATCTGAATATATTATTTTACACATAGCAATGTGCAAGTTAAAAGGATAGTGATTATATTTGAATATCCAAACTAGGTGCCTTCAGCATACTTTCTTTGCTGCTCATCTTGCTCTAGTTAATCAGGCAAATAATCCTCATGGGTTTGGATGCTTGTATAGGAAAATTTGTTTACAGCATAGTGAATTTTTAAAGAAAAAAAACACTTTCCTTTTCTCATCAAAGTTAACCTTCAAAGCTAATTTTGATGTCTACTTTTCCCCCCTTTTCTTATTTCAAAAACAATATCTCAATATAACATTGAAGGGCTATTGGGCATTCAGTTCAATTAGGTTAAACCCTAATTTGATGGTTATTATCATGTTAGTAACTATAGCATTCTACAGCTGAAGGGTCACTGACATAGCACATAAAAGTTGCTTTTTTGGACTGCAACTCCCAGAATTTCCCAGATAACATGGACAGTGTTCATGCTGGTATGGGATTCTGAGAGTGATAGACCCTAAAAGCAATATTTCCAAGATCTGCTTACTGGTAGTCAAGCCCCTCTACCTGTAAGAATATTTGAAGTTCATTTTTCAATATGAGCAACTTTGATTTTCAAATGTCACCAAGGATGGTGATTAACTGTTCAACCACAAACTATTTATGATCTGAGAAGACGATTTATCAAAAGTCATAGTCAGATTGGGATTATCTCCATTTAGTATGTGAACATAAGAATTGCTCTGTTGGAAGAAATCAAATTTGAACTAGTGTAGTGCAACTAATAATGGGACTGGAAGCTTATGAATAATGCATGACAGTGACAGTGCTCCCTTGTTGTTTGTTTCCTTGTGTCTGGTTTTCAGAAGCAGAAATGGGACCAAAGAAAATGCTGCAATCTATACTCATTTTCAACAGGAATGTTTCTATTCAGAATTTTAGGCAGTCATCCATGCCTGCTTTAGGGATATTCCATTCCATCTCATTCTCTCTGCTCCCTACTCCTGAGCTGCCTATTTTATTGTCCAATGAACATTCAATATTCAAAGGCTACTCACCATGCACCAGCCTCATGTTTGCATGTTTTTACATGTGCTGCTTTTTGATGCAATAGTTTAATTTTTCTTACTTCTGCAAATCTAAAGGCTTTCCCTTAAAATGTTGCAATTGCCATCATAGTTGATCAATCAAGCCCCTCCTTTCTCTTGGCATTGGATCCAAGGCACCTTTAAATTTAGAAGTTTAATTAAAAAGTTATTTTACAAAAGCTTTTAAAAGTATCAATTGCATTTCCTTGGTCCTCAGACTACTGCCTAAGGCAGGGGTAGGCAACCTTTTTGAGCCGGGGACTGGGTTGCTGTCCCTCAGACAATTGGGGGGCCGAAGCACCAAAAACAAACAAACAAACAAACAAACAAACAAACAAACAAACAAACAAACAAAATAAAAATAAAAATGTAATAAATAAATAAATAAATAAATAAATAAATAAATTTGCATGCACACTCTCTTAGCCCAGAAAAGCCATGGCAAAACCCCTGTGGAGATTTTGCCAAGTAATAACAACAATAATTAATATCATCATGGTGAGTGGCGGGGGGTCGTGGGGGGTGGCGGCGGTGGCAGGACTGGCCTGTGGCCGGGCCAAAGGCCTTGGGGGGGGGGCACATCCGGCCCCCAGGCCTTAGGTTGCCTACCCCTGGCCTAAGGTGAGGATGAGAAGGATTTGAGCTATTTTATAGATTCTATGGGACTTTACAGACTGCCAGAAATAATGCAGCATGAGACCACTTTAACTGCCCTGGCTCAATGCTAGGGAATCATGGGAACTGTAGTTTATTATGGCACCAGTGCTCTCTGACAGAGAAGGCTCAGTGTCTCAGAAAAAACTACAGTTCCCATGCTTCTCTAGCATTGAGCCAGGACAGTTAAAGTGGTCTTAAGCTGCATTATTTCTGTCAGTCTGTAAAGGCCCTAAGTCATCACAAGTGTGAATGGAAGACACAGGTATATACCATCTTACAATAACAAGATCTTTGTCTGTGAAACTCTTTTGGCCATTTTCTGTGTGGCATATAGAACAGAGAGCCAGTGTAGTGTAGTAGATTGAGCATGGGACTACGACTCTGGAGGTCAGGGTTCAATTCCCTGCTTGGACATGGAAACCACTGAGTGATCTTTGGCCAGTCATATACTCTAAGCTCCTATGTTGTAGATTGCTGGTAAAATTAATTCCCTGGCCTAAATCCTATTGGTTAGTTCTAGCTAGAGTAAAACCATTAAAGAAATAGTTGAGTGGCAAGTAAACACATTCAATAATACCATTGAATTAATGGGTCCTCCCTCCGTTGGAAGAACAAGTTTGTGGTTTATGATCATTTGCAGTTCTATATGAGTTTACTTCAGCTCTGAAATTTGTTTATAGCCAGTATTTTAATCCTACTTGTTTGTTTGCTAAAAGCAATTGTCTAACCTATGCATACCGTTTTTACACAACAGATTCTTAAATTGGTTGTTCTTTCAAGAAAGTTGTTTGAGGAAAAATATTAAAATTTTAAAATGGCTGAGTTTTTCATTTTGAAGCGTGTGGTTGCTTGCATGTGTTTGCATGCATTTCCATTTTTAGACTGGCCCTGAAGGAAGAAGCTCTGTTTTAGAAAGGGAATTGGTTTGAATATACTTTGTTCCTTTCTTTTTCAATAATATTCATATCTTTATTGTTTAATCTAGCAGTTAATTTGTCCATTTCACAAATTTCTACTAGTTTCAGTAACCATTCATCTATCAGTGGTACTTTTTTAGATTTCCAATACTTTGCCCACAGTATCCTAGCTGAGGTTTTTATATATAATACTGATCTCCAGTGTTCTTTCTCAATCTTTTCTAGTAATTATTTGTCATATTTAACAATTACATTTCAGGTGTCATACGGAAGCTAATTTGGAATATTTTACTTATTGTCATATGTATTTCCCCCCAGAATTTCTTGATTTCCTGACATCTCCACCACATATGGATCCATGTGCCTTTTGTTTTTTTTTTTAAATATTTCCAACATTTATCTTGTTGGGTCTTGTATATCTCTAAAATCTTTTGTGGTGTGAGATACTACCGTTGTGTCATTTTTAAGAAGTTTTCTTTTAAATCCTGTGAATAGGCAAACTTTTGAGTCTTTTCCCTTGCTTTCCTCCAATTTTCCAGTTTTATCTTTTTTCCAAGATCTTTAGCTCATTGGATCATTGTTTTTTGAGTTTGTTCAGTTTCCAACTCTCTCCCTAAAAGTAAGTTTTAGAATTTGGATGTCCCCCCCCTTCACTAAATATGATTTTATCTAATTCATTTTTCTCTTGATCAAATCCTTCCAGGTTAGTGTCCATCTTAAATCTTTCTTTTAATTGTTGGTATGGGAACCAGTATCATTTATAATCTATCTTCCCTAGTTCTTCAATTGACTTTATAGTGATCTGATTTCTCTAATCTCTTATTAATATGGCCTCATATCTCAGCCATTTATGTAGCTGTTTCCATCTTCCTTGAAACACTTCTTGTGGTGAAATCCAAACAGGGATTCTTCTATAAAATTTCTTTTTTAGTTTAATCCAATTTGTTAATAGTGACTTCTTAAGAAAGTGATTTTCAAAATCTTTATGGACTTTTGCTTTTCCGTACTACAGGTATGCGTGCCAGTCAAATCAGTTGTTGAATCCCTCCAATGCTAATATTCTGTCATTTTCTAACTCAATCCAATCTGATACTCACAACAGTGAAATTTATTATTATTATTATAGTGTGCTTGCATAATAGTATAATCTTAAATTAGGGATGTTACAGTCACCGTTTTCAGTTTTATCTGCCCATATGAAATTATAAATATCTTTTTGTCATTGTTTAAATGGGTTTGCATTAGTTATAATTGGAATGTTTTGAAATAGAAAATTTACTTAGCATTCAAACATTGATTGGATCTACTCTAGCTGAGACTAGCCAACGGAATCCAAGCCTAGGTGGATTTCACTTTCACATACTAATTTCTAAGTACTGGAGGTAATGAGATGAAAAAGCATTGTATGGAAGTAATGCATTTTAGTCTTTTACTCCAAGTCAAGCCTGAAATCTCTACCTTCAAGTCTCATGTTGAGTCTCAAGTCTGAGAGCCAACTTTAATAGAAAAAAAAAATGAGGTGGGGCATGTTTCTCAGAAGGGAACAGCAAACACATTAGAGAATGGGCTTGAAGTAGGCTTGAGGTCTGTTTGACAGCCTATCTCTGTTGTACATTGGAGGAGCCTTCTAAAGTTTTTTTAAAAGCCTTTGGAGGATCCTTCCCCTCAAGCTCATTGCCTAACGCATTTGCTATTCTTCTCTGAGAAATGCACCCCATGCTCCAGGGAGAAAGTGTGACTGCTGCTTGAAGTGACAAATGACAAACCCCAGGATCCCATAGGATGGAGCCATGACAATTAAAGTAGTGTCAAATTGCATTAATTTTGCAGTGTGGCAACAGTCTAAGAAATGTTAGAAACTAACAGTATAATAATAATAATAATAATAATAATAATAATAATAATAATAATAATTTATACTCCGCCCCTCTGTTAAAAACAATCGGGGCAGCTTACAACAGTTAAAATTACACCAAGAGTACAAACTAAAATCCCACAATCCTGCCCTCCCCCTATTTGTGAGCTAGAAGACTTCAGTCTGTTAAGGTCCACTCCTATAGTTCCTGGTTGGCTGTCTTAAGATTTATCAGCTCTTCCTCTCTGAGTGTAGAGAATGGCTTTAGAGATCAAGATATTATGTCACAAGTGTCCTTGTTGCAGCTGTGGAAAGATTGACAGCCCATTGCTGCTTCAATGACACAACTTCATTCTTTAAAATGATAAAAAGGCAAAATGACAAAAAGGAGGCAGGAGGCATACTGGAAGTTTGCTGGTGTGTTGGAAGAAGCTATGGTTTTGCATGATCTGCAGCTTTCCTGTTTTCCATACACCACCACTATGGATCTTATCACAGGGGGTCCAAAGCAGACAGAATCCAAAAGAAATCCTGACCTAATACGTA